CACCAGACTACGACATGAAAGAAGTGTCTATGAATTATACTTAGGGAACCATCAAGGATTGTTTGTTGAGATGTCTTTAGAGCTCAAGGGCATCTGGGGTGTGAGTAGCTTCACTGGGAATCTAATCTAGGCCCGTAGGCACGTTGGTAGCTGGTCATGCTGTTGGCTTTCCTCGCCATGACAAGCTCGGGGCCTTCTGGCAACGGATTTGGTCTAAAACAAATTTGAAGTTTGCCAAAGTGCACCATGTTATGGGAGGTTTGACGAGATCTTATTTGTCCACTAATTGGCAATCAAATAATCAACAGATAACATATATATATATATAATGAATAGCAATTAATAGATATCAATATATATATATATACAGTTAAAATATATTGAGAAACAAAAGCGGCACTGGCCCTTTCCTTGTTGTGGTTGCACTTCAACCACAAGATCGTTTTCAGGTCGCACCCAAATAGCCAGACAGTTAGTTTGGACTACAGATCTCACCTTTAGATCTCACCTGAACCTGTAGAATTATGACAGTGACAATCTACGTTTGATGATGTTTGTATTCCCGTCTCTTCCTTTGGCTCTTCAGTGTATGTTGAAACACCATCCTCCTCACCATCCTGTCCACCCCTTCAAGACCTCAGCGGCTCAGGCAGCGATCCGGAGGCGGCCGTGGAGACTCTGGTGTCACGCACCAAGGCGGCCGCACCGGCGCACCGAGCGGGTCCCGACCTTCGGGTGAAAGAGCTGCGATGTGACGACCAAGGGAGGCTGGAAGTCATGTTTCTTGGACCAGGGAATGGCGCCAGCCAGCCCATGCGGGCACGCATGTTGTGTTGCCTCTTTTTTGTTGTCGAAGCTCCAGGACTGAAGGACTCCTGCTCAAGATTGGGATCGGACAGGAGCGACATTGCATCTACAAGTCTACAAAGCAATTCTGTTCAGCGTTTCATGCGCCGGATTGGCATTCGGTGGATGTATACTGGATAGGTGCTATATCCAAGTAATCCAGTGCATCCAGCAATAACATATATATATACATACAATAACCATATCCGTAAACACAAATACAACGTCTACCCTTTGCTGTTACAATTCAACATGGGTTGAAGCAACATATTTCATACACAGTTCTAAGGGGATGGTTCCGGAGAAGCAGCAAGCTTACCATGTCTCACACCGCCGGATTCCAATTTTGAACATGCGGTAAGCTTACCATTTGGCAATTCTGAACATTCTCAAGGCAACAAATATACTGTAACTGCTGTGAAGCCATACGTAACAGACGCACGTGTGGAACTAGGCCGCCGTCCGTTCCGCATTGTACATTGAAGAACTTTGGCCAGTATTTGTACACACGTATCCTAGCTTGGCTGCAAGCACAGGAATCAGATGGGAGTAAACCCTCCAAGAACAGAAAACATATGGCGAGGAATGTACAATATGGAGCAGTTTGATTGATGTTGTTTTTGTTCACTCTCTTTGAGATCAAGTAGCGCAGAACAGCAGAACAGGTCACTGCAAGAGCCTCCCGCCCACTTTGGTGGGACGGACAATTCATCCGAGACGTGACGTGACTGAGGGGATATCGATGTCATCACCGAACCATGGTTTTAGAGGATCCAACATTCGCCTGGCTAGCTGAGCTGGTCCGTTGCCTTCGCCAGAGCCAGGCTCACTTGAACGCCAGCTCATGTGCGTTTCAGTCTGTCATCGATGAGGATGTGATGAAAGCTGCGGGAGACTCAGTTAGCTTTTGCTATGCTTTGCGCTTTTTCCGTTTCAGACCATTGCTGGTTGAGCATGGCTAGACCTTTGGTTGATTTTCACTTTGTGGACCATGAATCATTAGGCATTGTGCTGTCCCTGTGGTTGAAGCAAAACGTAGCAACGCACTATATATATAAATCCAACGTATGTAACCAAGTCGGGACATATGGGTCGGACGGGTGGTTCTTCACCTTAAGTAGTGTCCTTCTCGTGTTCTGCTTTTACATTGTCTACATTGTATTGATAGATGTTTATTGCTTTTACATTGTCTACATTGTAATGCTTCTTATTGTAATGATAGATGTCTACATTGTAATGCTGATAGTCTATCCTAAGTTTGTTGGGTTTGATCCGAGTGGTGTTTCTTTTGTTTGGGCCGAGCTAGATAGCTCTATCTACTTAGGTTTGATGAATCCACCGTCTCGGTTGCATCGCTTCCCATTTCACTTGGTGGAGTCTCGACCAGGTCATTACCGCGGCCGTGGAGGTGGGGATGGAGGATTTTTGCGCTTTCTGAGGAGTAGAAGCATGTTCATGTTTGATCCACCACATCCAGAAGACAGTTCACGGATGATGCACCACAACGGATGACCCCCGCAAAAAGCCGAAAGAACCGATCCACCATGATCCACCGATGGGCCAGGACAGCGACTTTGGATGAAATCCTGGACGCAGCACGTGTGTCATGTTTCGTTTGGGGAATCAGGTGTTTTGTTGGGAGAAAGCAGTGCGATGGTTTTATGTTTGGCTTGTTTTTGGCATGTGCCACATGTGCAAGTGTTACACAAGTGTCCCGTGGCTGGTGAGTTGTCTTACTTGTTCATCTCGGGGCATGCCAGCTGGTACGTTCCACAGCCTGCTCCTGGTACAGGGATACTATTTGTTCATGTCACTGATGGCCCGGTAAGCCGGTTCTTGCCGGTTCTTGCCGGTCAAGAGGGTGATTCTTCAGCTGCTGAACTTCATCCGGTTGTCATCCAGGATGAAGTGGACGTGGTGGTTGCCTCGCTGTGTACGGGACGCATGTGTCGCGTGCACCGCACCTCCATGTTGTCATGTGCTTCACGGACATGGGAAGGGACAGACGATCCATATATTGGGTCTGTCCTATTACCTGTAACAGTCAGTAAACAATTATCTTTTTTTTTGGACAAGGCCTCTACTAACCATCATCATCCATTGCTACAGGTAATAGGATAGACTGATAGACCCAATCTATATGTTGTTAAACTTGTCGAACTTGTGCTCACATAGATGGCAGATGTTAAAACAGACAAACAGAAATCATAAGATTACACGATCGATCAGATAGGTCTCTCCTTTTCCACTTGGACAACAGCTTGGTTGTTGTATGTTTTTGTGTTTTGCGGATGACTAGCAGCGGTGGAGGTAAGGTGTTTTGAGAGGAGGCCGATGTTATTCCCACAGGAGGATCACTCAGTCGTCTTAAACCAACAGTGGGGGTACTAGCAACTTGGCAGACTCCTTAGATCAAACAGACTTCGCGTTCCAAAAGTTACGCATCTGCTGCTCTTTGGTTCAGAAAAAACTGCTTTTCGCTTGCTTCGTTGCAGGGATCCAATTCACAAGAAGTGGATATGGAGGTGCCCGGGATATGGAGGTGCCAGGTGTGGGTCAAAGTGAGCCAGCGCAACCCTTTGAAATCTACCTTTGAAGTCTTGCTAGGCTTTTTCACTCACTTTGCTGATTTTTGTCGGGGAGCTCTGAGACGTCTGGGCAGTCATCCGTAAGGCGAGCTGTAGTAGTGAAGCAGAGATTCACGGCAGATCCAAGCTTTGGACAGTTTGTGACGTTCAACATTGACAGCTTGTCGTGGTTGAACCCCGGTTAAACAAATTGAAAACATGTGCATGTTTCCCCATTTTCGCAGCTTTCTACCTTCATCAAGCAGAAATTACATTAGGTTAATTAAGTGTGTTTGTTTGCCTTCGTTAGTCGCGCCACGCCAGATGAATGATGCTGGCTCTGGGTGTTTTTGGGTGTGTGGCATTTCACTCTCAAAAGAAAGCTGCTCCGACTAGCGGCACTGGCATCGTGTTGAAGTTGCACAGAAGTTCTTCCGGCCGAACCAGAGCTTTCTGGGCGTCTCACCTCAAGTAGCGACATGTCCGTGGCAAGTGGGTAGCAATTCAAAGTGAATCTTCTTGGCAAGTGGATCAATGCCCAGCTCAAAGGGCCCAGGGAGCGGTTTTGGACCCAACAGGCCGTATTTCTGTTGACAGGTTCGATTCACCCACTAGTCCCGGTTTCACCGATGGCGATGGCCACCGCGAGCTGGACTCAGCCGGCCGGGGGAGCCAGGTGAGCCGCCGTGGGACTCAGTTTACCTCGAACTTGCAGAGTTTCTGGGAGTCGTTTCGTCAAGTCCTTTTTTGGGGGGTAAACGATTCCCAGGAACGTAAAGACTACGTGATCTTTTTGTTTGGTGAAGTTGTAGGAGCTTGAGCTCAAAGATGCTCAAAGACTCTACTGTGGGACCAACACAGTTATTACAATGAGTGGGCAGGGGTAGGAGGGTGCGAGTCGAAACTGGCTAGAGATGTGATCGACTAGATCCGCAATCCCCATGTTGGTCAACCCTTTCGTTCATGGAGTTGTCTCAATTCTGATGAGAACTTTGTGACACTGACTGATGAATCAGCTTGGTTTTTGCAGCACTAGTATTCCTGCAATTGGGGTGATCACAAGTATCCAAATAGCATGAAATAACATACAGGGCCACAATGTCTAATATCCTACAGATTCTGCTTCCACGGCATTCTTCCGTATGTGTCCATTTCTTCTCCAGACTGCCAGACACCAGACCTCCCAACAACAACAACAACAACAACAACAACAACAACAACAACGCAACATAACTACTAACTGTCATTGTGCAGATTATAGTTCACGGTGAAATTCACTACCAACTCCGTTTATATAACTCCTTTCATGGCACCTGGCCGCTTGCCCGAAGGAAGCAGTTGGAGCCGCTGGTGGAAGGTGCGAAGTTTGGAGCCCCGAAAACCTGTGGAACTGGTGCATGATGTTGATGGTTCTTGGATGTTCTCGCATGTTTTCATGTTCTGAGACAGTCTGAATTGTCATGTTCTCCCCAAGGTTCTGAAGTAGATTCACAGAGGCAAAGCAAGTCCCTTTTGTAGGCGCTAAGAGCGATGATTGGTCATGAATCTTGAATAGGGTGGACCCAGTATGGGCAACGGGTCAAATATTCGAGAACGATGAGAAAGGCGTGCTTCTTCGGATAAGACCAAACTCAAGCCACAGTCGGGACGACAATAGCACTAGGGGCTCCTGGCGTCGCTACTAGGAGCAAGGACGCTACGTTCGGGGCTCCTGGCCTTACTAGGAACAAGGACGCTACTAGGTTGGATCTAATCCAAACGAGTCCATGACACGACGCGTACGAGAGAGGTCGGAAAACCATGTGTCCATTGGCAGGTGGGGGATAGAGTGTCCTTTCGTCGGGAAGTCTCTTGAGGGTATATATTCCTTTCCGGCAGCTTGGCTTGGCTCATTTTTCAGTCGCCACCTGTTGCGCCACTGACTTGACAGACGCCATGGCTCGCCAACAAAGGAGGCTTTTCCTTTGCGCCACTTGGATGAGATTACCCAGGCAGATGTGTTCCTGTGTGTGTTCAGTATGGCTGAGCAACCATCCACAGGGGTCAAATTTGTGCTGCTTCATGTTGTGTCATGTTGTGGAGATGCTGCGAGCTTCAGCTGCTGGGGTATGTGCTTTCAGCTGTTTATCATACTTGGTACCTTTGGGTGTATCGCAGGAGTTGGTGTTTAGCTTGAATTAGGAAAGGGGGTTCTTTCCTCTCAGCGGGTAGCTGCTGGTAGCGGAGTTGGGGGCTTGCGAAAGAATCAGAAGTGCCTTTAGTGTTTCTCCAACAAATCGAAAGATATATATATATATATATTTAATGTATGCTTGCTATGCCATTGTCTGGAATCATGAATGGTTGCCCTCAATTTGATTCAGCTTTGGCCAAGACAGAGTTCTTGTACTTGTTAACAAGAGAGAAGGAATTTGCTGTTGTTCTTATTGTTTGTTTGTTTTGTTTTTTCCCGGCGATTTTGTGCTCCACCAGTGGCTGCCAGTGCTATCTAGTATACTATCTAGTACTAAGAGGATGGGGTCCCCTTCTGGCGAACTAAGGATAAGAGATGATATGAGTTTACAAGCGGATCGCTACTAGTAACAAGAAGCTATGAGTAGCTCCTGGCATTTCTACTAGGAGCAAGAAGCTATTAGAGCAGGTGACCTTTACCTGTTTCTCTGCTTCTTTTCGGGCCAATCGGCGTCACCCCAGGTGTCACTGGTGTGGCTGGGCCTTCACTCGCGCACCTTGCTGGGTTGGACTCGGGAAGAGGCCAAGCAACAGCAGCCTGGACCGAAAACGACGTGGGAGCGGATCTGTTTTTTCCCATTTGTGTCCCGCATCTTTTGTTCGGACCAAACCCTTTGTTTTCTAACCCCAACTGGGAAACCTCGCAGGTGACTTCCTTCGGCGTTTTCTGCTTGCGTTTCTCCCCCAAGAGATTTGTGGGGCCGAGCGACGCCCCGAGCATCGCGGAGCGAGCTGGCGCTGGCCGGAGCGCTCATGCAATGCGTCCATATAATTAGGTCGAACAGTTTACAATACATGGAATAGAGGTGCATGGAGTTTTTATATTTTATTGTATTATTTGCTTTTCCAGAATCAGCTAATTGGGATGGCTCCTTAGTACGTGAATTAGCAACATGCATGCTCTTTCTGTGCTGGATCACAAGTCTCATGGCATTTTCTTGGGGCCTTTAAGCCTGTTAAGCAGTCACCGGAAAAAAGGGGTCGTTCCATGTCGTTCCACGTCACGCCGTCTGTGCGCCGTCAGCGCTTCGCTTGGGATCGATCCATGCGGCGATGCCGTGGTTCACTGAGGGTGGAAAAGAACATCAAGGCGCAACGCCGACGCCCCGTTTTCGGAGTGGGCCATGGGCGACCCTGGGGTCGTTGGATCTCCAAGTTGGGTCCGTGTCGGAATCTTCGACGTGTGGCGATGGAAGGTCTTCCTTTGTCCTAAGCATCCGTTGCATGGAATGGTCGTTCATGAGGTCGGTTTGCTCAACAGATGGCAAGAACATGAACATCTCCTGCACGGCCGGACCTGGGGAATGGCCCTCTGTTATAAAGCGTCATGCATATGATCAGGTGTTCCCTTCTGTTCTTTAAAAAGCGATTTCTTTCCCAGCTGGCAGAGAGTGGCTGCGTATGGCTCAAACACGACTATCCATTGGGTATCCCAAAGCCGCCAAGCAAACACTCTCTCTAACAAAGGAACGTTACAAGAACTCTACAGCCCCCCCTTCTCCTTGGACCTCCATTCCCAAAACTCAGATCATAGAGGTTCCATACATGTTCCAACACTCGCGTCTACTCCGACTGCTGTTTGGAACTGGGGGTTCTTTTCGCTTGACGTCGAATGTCGTCCGAACGTCGACAGGTCTGGAATTCACCACACAGCTTTCGCACCTTGGAACCGTCAGAAGCACGGCGGAGAGGTCTGATCCCATCCGTTGCAGGCCACGTCCTTGCATGGAATCAGGAGTCCTCAGGAGCTTGCTTCGTTCATGTCCAGGCTATGAAAGCAAAACCTTCAGCCTCGGCACCTGACCTCTACCCCGAGTCCCGAGAATATGATGGCAAAGTCAACCAAGCTCACACTTGCCATTCTTTTGTGCAAAGCATGGTGGCGCAGTTTCAAAGCTTTGGTTCGTGTTCATTCTCCCTTTCCGTTTCCTGCTGATCTATACTTGGGGAGCACACTCCGCCATATACGATCGTTCGTGAAAAATGATATTTAGATATACAGATACATTCATGCATATATATATATATATGTATTATATTGCCATGTACATTATATATACGTATGATACTTTAAGACAACTATAGTTCAAAGGCTCAAAGGGCTGGACTCCCTTTCCCAAGCCCCCTGGTTTGCCCCAAGGAGACTGCCGACTTGATCGGAAAAACCCGGACGAGTTGGGGGGGATGATTGCGCTTCTTTTCCAAGGCCTTGCAGGCTCTAAGTTCGCCGTGGACACCGTCTCCCAGGGCGCCTTGCAATGGCAAGTGAGGCGAGTCCGGTGCGCATCACGGTCAAGGTGTCGGTCGGTTCACGTGGAAGCAAACCGGTTCATCCATAGTCCAGACATGCATACACCTGGTCTACATATCAAGAAAAAGGACTTGAGAGGATGTCGTGTGGAGTGCTAGAGAGGGTCAATGACAGATATGTATAGAGAGGTAGATGGCAATTAGACAAACAACTCCCTTGGCCAAGTGATGTCGATACGACCTTAGACTTGAGTGGAAGGCTAGCCACTCCTTCCAGACAGGGTGTGATACTTTGTAGCTCAAATCAACCAGCCCTCCCCTCGCTAGTCCTTTGGCTTTCCTTTCAACCAGTCTCAAAGCTAGGTCCGGCTTTGTATAAGTGATGTCTTCGCTGGCCAAGCTCAGCAAGCAATACAATATGTTAGTGATGTAAGTAGAGTTATTGGGGAAATGAAGCGGAGGCCATCGGTTCTTTGAACATCCAGCAGCCAAGCATCCACGAGACTCGCCTGACACCAACTTATTCACCTGACAGGGCCACGGAGAACACCAACACCACGCCCAACGCACTCTTTGTGGCACGTGAAGATGGCGGAAACGTGGTGTATGGCTTGAACTACGACTCCAAGCGCCTTGGAATCAGACAAAATGCCAAGGTGATGTTGGAACACCATGGGAGAGACCTTTGCAACCAGTTGTTTGGTGTTTAGGGGTTTTAGTGTGAGGAGAAAATCAGCTAATCTCACACATCCTGGGGTTCAAACACCCTGTGCCTAAGATAGCAGAGTCTTGCTAGTATATCGAGCATCTTCGTTGAATCCCATCAGCTGTTCGACAGAGAATGTGTGCGGCAGTTTTCCTGGCTGTATGCCCAAACCCATGTGTAGATTGTTATGCCCCCTTTGCAAATCTCCTATCAGTCGATTCAAGTGATGACCTTTAGGAAGCAATTGGACAGGTTCGTAGCGCACCTAAAGGGAGGGGTTCCAAGTGTGCAAGAGTGTCCTATGATTTGATATGATTTGGTGATGTTCCTCTTTCCCAGCATTTCGCAACACTTCCCTTCAGCTTCTAGCTCATTCTAGCTCAAGCAGCTTGCGTTCATGCCCACATGTTCTTGGCCCAGCTTGCACTCTGAGGAAGAGCGAACTAAAGCCCTTGGGGGATCACCGAATCCAATTCTCAGCCGCTCGAAGAAACCGTGATCGCTGGGTTCCTTTTCGAGTCATTCAGACAGAATTCATCACCAGCTATGTGGGTAAAAACCCAAGACAGGAAATGACAAGAGCCTTTGTTCCACATTTGCCCCAACTCCGCCACCCTGAAGCTGTTGGAAGCTGTTGTATATGGCCAAGAACGGAAGGGGCCTTCTCAGTGAAATGTGAGTTCCTCGTCAAATTGAGTCTGAGGGGAACACGTTTGACCTCATCTAATTCTGCTGCTTGCATTTTCCTGTTTTCGGGTTTGGAAAGTAATGTTCATCTCGAGAGAGACTTGACTTCGAATCGGAGACGGTTTAGGTGCATTAGAATTGGATAATAGAATATGCATAGAAATGCTGTTTCATCATTCATCACCCCAAAAATCACGGATTGTTGGAACCATTGCATTTCTACTTCTGACTTCTGTCAGGACTTCAATGATTGATATCATGCAAATGTCCAATGACTCTTATGATCAGTTTCCCATCAATGCTCAAACTATATTGTAGTTCTGTTTGCTTGATAGTCATTCGTTCGCAGCTTGCGTTCGTGTTTTTTCTTTGGGTCGTCGCAGGATCCTGATCCGTTTGCGAGAAATCTCGACCGTGTAGTACTGCACTCGGCATGTCATGGCCGGCCGTTGATGATCACAAACCATGCCTCACCGAACTGAACAGGACGTCGAGTCTCGGGCTTGAACTCTTGGCCTGTTTCGGGCTTTGGAGCTTTTGCATCCGTCAATGCATTTGATAGCAGGCTTGCATTGTGACCGGTACCAGCCCCTTATCAGCGACGCTAAGCAGTGGGTCAGATTGCAAGTGGTCTAGATCAGCTATGTTTTTTTTTTTAATGAAACATAGATAATTTTTTAATGGAATAAATATACAAAAAATGAAATAAATATAAAAAATGAAATAACTATTTTAAAAAATGAAATAAATATAAGCAAATAAATATCACGAAAGGTAGCCTGGTAAGGACTACCTTGAGTTTGCTTTGCGAAGCAAAGGGACTGGCTTGAGAGCCTGCTCGGGACTAAAGATTGATAGATCAATGTCTAACACCCCCCCCCCCCCCCCCCCCCCCCCTGTGTATAGTTATTTAAAAAACCCATTTCTTGCCCCCCCCCCCCCCTCTCATCATCATCATCATACTACTCGGTACCTGCGTTAAGTTGACTCAGCTGGTGCAAAGCCGTGTGCCCTTGCAGAACTGCATGTTTTGTGTTGTGCTCATGGCATGGTGTGCCTGATTGTCACCCCCCACATCATCACACTACTCGGTACTAGCGTTACGTCGACTCAGCTTGTGTAAAGTTGACCCGAAACCGTGTGCCCTTGCAGAACTGCATACCACAGAGCTGTCTAAGCATCGATTGTATTGATCTATAACACATGGCATGGTGTGCCTGATTGTCACCCCCCACATCATCACACTACTCGGTACTAGCGTTACGTCGACTCAGCTTGTGTAAAGTCGACCCGAAACCGTGTGCCCTTGCGTTAAGTTGACTCAGCTTGTGTAAAGCCGTGTGCCCTTGCAGAACTGCATGTTTTGTGTTGTGCTCATGGCATGGTGTGCCTGATTGTCACCCCCCACATCATCACACTACTCGGTACTAGCGTTACGTCGACTCAGCTTGTGTAAAGTCGACTCGAGATATCTAAGCATCGATTGTATTGATCTATAATACATGTTTTGTGTTGTGCTCATGGCATGGCGTGCCTGATTGTCACCCCCCACATCATTACACTACTCGGTACTAGCGTTACGTCGACTCAGCTTGTGTAAAGTTGACCCGAAACCGTGTGCCCTGGCAGAACTGCATACCACAGAGCTGTCTAAGCATCGATTGTATTGATCTATAACACATGTTTGGAGTTGTGCTCATGGCATGGTGTGCCTGATTGTCACCCCCCACATCATCACACTACTCGGTACTAGCGTTACTTGATGTGACGCATGCACCCGCCTACGGAATGTGTTGCAAGGAGGCACTCTGGGTTTGGGTCGAAAGACGGACTCCGTGGAACAGCCAGACAGACCCATCAGACTGTCATTTGATGTTTTGGTCTCGTTTTCCCGCGCAGCTGATTTCTTTGCATTGGCGTTAATGGTTGATCAATATCAAAAATATCAAACGTGCACTAGACCTGATACTGGCAAATACTCTTAAAGTGGGTTGTGATTGCTTCGGAGACAGCGCGTTGTTTCGGCCCAAGCAGTCCGGCAGACACGGCGTTGTTTCGTTCGCATGTTGCCGTCCAAGCGTCAGCGTGTGCAGGCTTCGGGTTTTACGCGTCGGCTGCTTGCTCTTCTGTTTGGGTCCCGTTCCCTGTTCAGAGGCAAACGGAAGGGTAGTGCTCAGAAAGGGTTTTGCAAAAACCTATTCTACTAACAGCGTGGAAGGCGTGGGACATTCGTAGAACCCAAAGCTATTCGTGGACAGTTCGTGGAATGGTGGGCCAGTAGGAGAACTGACGGCAACGAAATTTCAGAAACCTTCGCAGAACTTCGTGGAAGGTATTTTTGCTGCACAAACTTTGTATAAGCGATTTTTGCTGACTTCCTTTCTCCACAGACCCTCCATTTAGCCTTCACATGTGCCCTGCTGGGAGGCCATGCTCGACATGACCCTGGATGAGTACATTCAGGCGCAGACTGCCTTGCATATAGAGTGCATACTGCCTTGCATTCGCTCCGACGAACTGCTCGGTGAACGCTAGTCTAGTTCAGACGGCGTGGCCGCCAAACTGTTCGGTTTCGTGGCCTGTCTTCACCCACCCGCGCTCCTGCAACGACACAGCCGGCTCCAAAGGCAAAGAAGCTGCAAGAGGGCATCGCGAGGCTCAACTGAGTTAGGAAGCTGTTCTTCAGTCCTCTCAAGCAAGCCCTGCACCAAACTTGACCGACACTTTTTTTTTGCACACGACGTTGTGGAGGAGTCTGTTTTCCCAGTGCTTTAGTCTTCTTACGAATTTACTATCTATGCGCTGGAGGTATTCTTATTTCTGGATAAAATGTAGGAGGATACTGTCACATCACCTTTCTTCAAGCTAAAGTTGCGCCTTTCTTCAAGCTGAAGTTGCACCGGGCTTGGGTACTTCAGACATGGTTTGTTGTGGATCCTGAGTGGCCGGAATTCCATATCATTTGGTGCCACTCCTGCTTGCAAAGCCCTGCGGCCTGTGTAGTTCCCTGAGGCTTGATGCCTCTGAGAAGCCAAAGGATTACTACATAGGCTGATGCTTTCAATGTGATTCCTTGGGTTTGAATACTAGAATTTGTTTCAATCTGATCCAAGAAAGTTCATTCAATTTCAGAGACCATAAGCTTGGCAGGCAAAGACCGAAGCCGGCGATGAGCTGGACTTCTATGCAAGGCTGGAGCCATTAAACTCCATGCAGCACTCCCGTTCATTTTGCTCTCACCCCCTATTTGGTGTCATTGCTCGCGAATGCCTGGTTTCTCGGATTTTGTCGAACACTTGCCACAAACAGTGTGACTTTTCGCGTCATGTTCCCCCACACTCCACGGAGCTTCCTCTTTTTCCGCAGGCCATTGGCGTCTGTCGATCCCGCTATTGCCTCGAACGAGCCCTTTGCGACCACCGCTGGAGGCCGCCGGCTTCCACTCTACGACCCCAGCATTGGAGTAGAGTTCACACGTACATCACTTTTTCTGTTTGATCCTTTGCACCAAAGGTTGGTCAGTCCAGTAGACCTTCCCCTCGAATCACGGTTCTTGCTTCGAGTCTGCTTCCAAGGCCTATACCACATGAGTTGGCGCGTGTCTCACTCTGTACCGACCACTCAAGCGTTGGTCGGCTCGCCTGCTGGGCTAGCATGATTGCATAAGTCGATAACACACTTCAGCCCTTCTTGCCCCGCGGCAAAAGGTCTCGACTGCTCCCGGAAACGTTTCTACCTTTCGTGTTTCCCTGCTCAAGTAAAAACATGAAATAATAAAAAAGCATGTTAAATCATTTTAGATCTAAAAAGATCTTTTTAAATCTGTAAAATCTTAAAACAAAATCCTAAAAAATCTTAAAACATCTCAAAATATCTCAAATCATCTCACAAGCCGGGGGTTCGTGGTAAAGGGTTTCGGAATTACAAAATAATTTTCCAGGAGCAAAATCTTTTAAAACAAATCTAAAAAGTCTTAAAAATGAAAAACATATGAACAAAATATGAAAAAATCTGAAAAATGTAAGAACAAATATTTAAAAACACACATAGAAAAAGAACATAGAAATATAATATGCAAAACACTCTCGTGGTGAGCGTTGTCTGACACGAACATTCTGCAGACTGTTGTGGTCTCAGACGCTTGCTTGTTGTCAACTGTTGCCTCTCACTCACACCCATGGCGGCATCCTCGGTGAATGGTTCTGTTGTTGTCACACATGATCAATTGTGTGTCAATGGGTTGCTGAAATAGAAAAAACATATAGGTTATTTGTTTCCTGGTTTTTTTAATGTGTTTTTCTGTGTTTTTTCTGTTTTCTTTTTTCTGTTTTTTATGCTTTTTCCGATGTTTGCATGAAAAAACATATGCGATCTAACCCGTGCAGATCTGACCCACTGCTTAGTCTCAGTGACCTTACTGTAGATGGTCCTGGTAGTGAGTGCATGTTCCAACTTCTTTGGGTGGGATGTTCACCCGGACATAGGCGCCACCAGGAGTGCCCCCATTGTTTGGGCAGGCCACAGGTGACGAAGAGTTCAACGATCTGGATTGGACTTTGCGAGTGGAAGGCTTCTAAGAAGCAGATCGAATGGGCGAGATTTGAGTTCTAGATGACCATGTCACGGGGTGTCTCAGCAAACGCTTTCCGAACCAACAGGTTTCATTTGACGTCCCTTCTATACTTATGTGATCTTATGTGTATGTTCAATGTATTGCCTCAGGAAGAGGGAGGATATGGGAGATGCGAGCATGTCATTTTTTCCCAGGCCTGATAATTGGGCAAAGGAGTCACCAATGTGTCGGAAACGGACAATTCTTCACATGAAACTGTGGCTTCCCAGCTCTTGCGTGGCCTGTAACGAGGTTTTGAGAACTGCAAGCGCTATTTTTTCTTCTCAGACTGCTCAGCCATTTTGGCTCAAGCATCACCTGCTCAAACGCCTTGTCGGTCCGCTCCCGATGGAGGTCTGGGAAGCTCGACAATAGACTTGTTGGTCCATCGAGGCCCTTCGCGGCCCTTCGAGGCTCCACCAAGTTCTGGCGTGCGCCATGCGCGAGAGGCCACTGCAGGAGCAGAACTTGGCCGCAGCTCTGCGCAAATACGAGAGCTCCGGTCCCACAGAGCCAAGGCTTTTTTGATTGTTTGTTGGGGTGCTTGGATTGCCTTCCTGCGTGGAACGTGTGCGGCAAACAGGTTTATATTGACGCTGCCCAATGGACATTCGAGGCGCACGACAGAGATTCCACTGCGACAGATTTTCATGATGGATCAACTTGAACTCGATACCCTCACACTGCAATTTCTCACTGGCGGCATTGGCGCCATGGCAACGCTAAGGTGACCATTGCATACCACGTCTGAAAGTACACTTGCTGAAGTTGGCGGGAGGCACTCCGTGCGATCTGTGAACGTAGCTCTTCCGCGGCCCAAGGGTGGTTTCTCCATGCATTACAGAAATACTCATACCAGCTTTTGTTTGGACGTGCAAGCGTCTGGCGCAACATTCTTCTGCTGTGCTAAGCAGTATTTGACTGTTGAGCGTCTCAGACACCATTTACGATACATTGCTTCATGCTGCCAGCTTTTTTCTGAGCAGAGGGTTTGACTTGCCTCCTGATCTTCCACCTGTGTCGGACCACCGTCATTTCAGTTCCCTTGGACGCACGTGGGAAAGGAACAGGTTAGGAGCAGACACCCTGACGAAAGACCTTTTTTTGGTCAAGCTTTGGATGAGGCGCTTGTGGCCTTTGACATGAAGATCCTTTTGTTTCCAGGGTAGCTGCACATCTGCAAAATGTTTGTACGAGACCACTTGCTTTTGGACAGTTGTGCTCTGGTTTTTGCGAGTGGCTCGAGCCATTCCAGAACAATGGCGACCGACTACCGATTTTTGCAAGCGGGTCAGCTTGTTTTGATTGGGATGATAGATCATGCTACTCGGCTGTGTAACCGAACAGAAGCCAGATTATTCTATTCTTGAAAAACGAGGACACACGGAGTGGAGGCAAATCAAATTTGACCGGTGTGAGCTGGTTGTTCGATCATATTTGCCAAAGGAAATTATCGTATTGCGCCTCTTTATAAGGCAGGCGACGCAAGGGCGACCGACAAGAAAAACTAGAGGAAATCCAGTTGCTGCCAGAAGGCCATTTTTGACCGTGGCATCGATAGATGTCGCAATCGATCCTAAGAGGTGCAATTTGAGTGAAAAGGGGCAGCAAGAGCTCTGGTTTCGACATTGCTGCTGGTGATGTTGCCGGGGTCTTTGGAAAATCCCCGCACGAAACATGGAGCATAGCGCGTTTCGAGCCGGCCCCGACACATATACGAAGGCCGCCCAGACCAGTAGCCTTCGGGGCCTTCTCGGCACATCCGCAAGGAACACAGCCCGGTTGGCATGGGCAACACTCTTATGCTCTTCGCCCTTAAGGCGTCGCTCCAGGCTGCAACTGGAGGGTTTAGCTTTCTAGAGGGCCCGGCAAATCCGCATTCTCTTGGATGCGACATTTAGCTGCTCCTTCGATTTGGCTGTCTGCTATCAAAGAGTGGATGCTACAGTCTCACGAATGCGACTTACGCTGCAGAGATTCCGAATGTGCGGTTGGCGGTTGGATACAATTTTGGACTCCACGGAGGTGCCTGGAAACCAGACACCTCAATTAAGGAGTAACTATACTTCTAGCTTTTGTAAGTTCATTGCGACCTTGTTCGAGTTGGATCCAATTCCAACCGGTGGCTTGTCAACGCCAGGTTGCAGATGTTGCGTGGCTACGAGCTTTGGTCATTACCTTTGAAGATCGTGGGCTCCCCGCGCCCGAGCCTGACTTCCACCAACCTATTTAATTCAGGAATTCACTCGCAGAGCCTTTATGAGGCACTTTGCGTGCAAGAAAGAAAGACTGCTCAGACCAGGCTGCTGGAACAGATCAGGCGAAGGTGCAGCTATATAAGCAATGCCGAAAATGGCCCTGCTTGGAAGGCCAAAGCTGGACCAGTTGAATCCCAAATGGTGAGTTCTGCATCTCATGTCCAGGTCAGTGTGTTTTGATTTTGATTCATGGAACCCATGGGGCAGACAGGTGTTTCTGATTGGTTTTCATGTTGTTGTGCTTGTTTTTTGTTAAAGACCGTTTTTTTAAGAGTTCTTGCTGCAGTCTACGTGAGCCACTCCCAAAATCATAACGGTCATTTTTGGTGAGATCTGGCAGAATCTTGCACAGTCCTGGGAAAACGAAACCGGAAAACCGAAAGCGATACCTCAGTAGAAGCGATCCAATTTTTTACGGTAATTCTGAAGGTCGCTCACAAATCAGTTCCGGGTTCTTCTATTATCACCGCTTGCTGGTCTTTTGGTGCCGCGTATAACGAAAACTATAGGCCAAGACAACGACCAGCCTCGTCACTTGCAAGCCACTGGCAACAGCGATGATGTTGCTTCTGGGTCGCAGTTGTGGGGTGTTTTCTTCTTTGCAGTATCATTAATTGCCAAACTGTTTGTCAAACATTTCGCTTTTGGCTCACATTGAAGCAACCAACAATAACCAACATATTTGAAAACACGTCAGTTTACGCATCGTGCACCAAGAATAGCCTAAAGCCCTTGAATTGTTAAATTTTGATATTCGTACTTCTACATCCGTTAAACCAACAACACCAAAGTGTTAGTCATGCATCTCAATTGTCATTAGTTTGGAAACCCACATCCACCTTTCTGTCCACTAAGGTCAACATGATACCATAGTGCAAGATCTCAGATCCATGCTGCCTGAAATGTAGATTGAAAGTTGCTAGACACCCCTCCGTGTACATGTGTTCCTTCGAACACCTCTAAATATCCGTGTTTCCAGCGGAGCACCATACTACATTTTGCTGTTTCGTGTACACGATGAATTTCACTTCAGGTCTACGATGGATCTTTCGGCTGGGAAAAGACTCTGAAGAATGGACTAGGCCAAGCGATGCGTTCATTGTCCTGTCAAGTATACTCGAACAACTTGACTAGACCTCATTTTGTTCCTTCAACAGGGCTCCTGTTGGAAAGCCGGCTTCACGCTTCACCCGCGAGGCTTGCTTTACGCGGTGGATGCCAAGCGACGCTCGGGTGGTGAAGGTGCAAGCGAGCGGAGCGCCGGCGGAGCCGAGAAAGAGCTGATTTCGATGGTCGTTCACAGAAAGGTACAGAATAGCAGATGATAGCAGATGGCGTGTGGTCATCAAACGGGCAAACAACATGGCTTTGCAAACTTGGAAGGGGAGTGTGTGGTCACTGCCAGTGCCCTGTGAAGAACACATCGGCCCTGCTCTATTTCTTTGTTTTAGTTCTTCAGTTCCCACCGTCTTCGCCTTGCTGCCTTCACCAGGCGTGTTGCCCAACTGGATGCAGCAAAGTGCCGGACTGAAGTACCGAACCAACTTCGGCGATGCCAAGGTGGCGATGCCAAGTGCACAAGCACAAACCTTCGGAAAGCAGAGCCTTCAAAAGACAGATATCTCAAGAGAAGGTCCATGCATATAATATATATATATATAGACATGTTATTAATAAATATATATATATAATAACGATTATATATATATATACACAATTACCTGGTAAGCCTTAAACCTACAACTTTCTACGCTACTAAATAGAAGAACCATAGGTTTTCATGGCTCGAACGCCAAACCAACGAATATCAATGATATCAATTTATATTAGGGAGCTGAGAAAACGTGGGGCAAACAAGGAGTCGCCACAAGCCTGGAGAAACATCAAGTCGACGTTCTCCATCCCGTTGGGTCGGACAACATCGGCTATGCTATTCCCCAAGACCATGTGCATGAAGAAAGACCAACAAGTACTTCTGCAAGGAAGACCAACAACTTCTTGCTGTCATGAGGTCATGTATTCATAACGTGGAATTACTTGGACCTGATGACATCGACCTCTTAAAGTATGCACCCGTTGATCCGAATCGAAGCACCGAACACTAACACCGTGACCTGGAAGGGGTGGGTGTGGTTTTCCAGCATCGGCATCGGTCGGTCAGGTGCTCCTCTTTCAACCCGATCCGGAATCTGACAAGAAGACATTGGAGTATGAAGCATCTTGGAAGGGTAAGCTGCAAGGACTGGGGTCGTCGGGTCGTACATCTATGCACGGCTTGGGGCCGTGCAAGCCGTCCGGGCAAGGGGCGGATGGTGTGGATGGTGCAGTCTGAACATGAAGATGTATTGGTTGCATATGTGCGATATACGTCGCGCTGAGCTCAGAATGTCTTATACCCTTATAACTTATACCAGGAACCCCAAGGGGTGGTTATTGGACACCCCTTGACCTCCAAGGGACTCTTAATGGACACCCTTTCAATGGTGCTGGCCATCAATTGGCTTGCGGATTTCATTTGCTTTGGGGTCTTAGACAGAGTCTTCCAATTTTGAGAGGAAAAACGGCCCCAGACACACAGGACTGAGCGGTGGGGTCGGGAAGAAGATCCTCACGACGGATCCGCAGTACAAACTGAAGCTCACCAACGAAGGCGAAGGGGTTTCGCCAGGTTGGGTTGAGTCCAAACTCGATCCAAACGTTCGCAAATTCGAGGGAACCTTGAGGAGACGCCCCGTTGATGAGCAAGAAACACCGCTTGGCCTGGTCAGCACTTGACTGTCTAGGAGTATTTTTTGTTCAAGTACTTGTACTACTGTACGTTGCCCTGGCCTGTTTGTAGAGGAACCTCTTCTTTTTTTGTCCATCAATTTTGTGGAGTTGAAACCATCTCCTGGCTGAGCAGACTCGGTGGAGTTCTGCAATGTTGTTCTTGGAAGACCTTCGGGGTGCACAAAACAAGCTGTTCCTTCACCAAAGGGGAACCCCATCCTTCACTGTGTCGAGCTTTTCTTGTGCACTATATATCCATCTTCAGGCTAAACCAATGCTATGAGGGTAGAAGTGTGACTATCGTGTTTCAGTGTGTCAAAGAAGCTATCCGCGTTGGACTGGTGCTAGGCCTAGGAAAAGTGGGAATGAGCCCCTAAGATGCCGAGAGCCATTCCTTTGGATCGCCTCTCACTTCTTCTTAAGCACCAGTCAGTTGTAGCAGACCCATGTGCCTGTCCTTGTCTTGGCGAAAGACAGACACAAAACCATGAACCTGTCCCAAGATTATGTGCCCCTGCAGCTGACCAAACCATTCTGGGGTGCGTGGAGTATCCTGGAGTCCTCATGAGGCCCCCCCCCAAAGAAAGCGCGGGGGTTCAAAACACGGGACGGTGGGGTTGAACACTAGGTGTATGTCGACGCAAAAAGTTGAAGCTAGGCTTGACAGTCAAACTACGCAGCGCCGGACCATGCATGGCCTTTGATTATTGGTTGGTTGATCAATAGTGGGGATACCCCCCAAGCAGGTACACTATGCATATATGAGCAACCACTTTTATTTAGGCTTTACTAAAGTCGTCTACGGCACGCTCTATTTGCTTGTCTATCATCAGTATTCGCTTGTGAACGAAATAGGGCCCCCACATAAACGAGATACTTTTGCTTGATGACTCGATGACACTAAAGTAGTCTGAACGAGATAGTGTGATCTGCTACTAAAGTAGTCTGAACGAGATACTGTGACATGACCTCGTACTTAAGTAGTCTAAACGAGATAGGGCCCCCACATAATATATATTTAAGTTTAGTACCAAATAAATGCCGACGCACATATATATATATATATACACACACGGTATATTAGTAACCTGGTAGCAAATCCTCCCTTGGACATCACTGCGCGGCCTGCCTGCGACTCTTTCCAGGGACTTGCCTTCTCTCGTCTCGCTCTTCGTTCCGCGCACCTCGCCGTCGCGAGGCCTTGCAGGCAAGGTGCGCGCCCCCGCGAAGTTGGGCACAGCCTTCGGCCTCTTGGGCTTTGACGGGGGAGTGCGGGGGAAGCCTGGGGGATTGGACGAAGTTGCGAGAAACCAACCAATGGGTAACCTAGAATGAGGTCACTTAGTCCCTGAAGAGGTCACTTACAGACTCCAAAGAGGTCACTTTGAAGGTCCTGGCTATGTATGTTTTAATGGGGTGACCTCCCGACCAATGGGTTTTGCGGCTTTGCAACTTGTCGAAGGTTCGTATTGACCCAATCAATGGGTTTGGGTCTATTTCCTTACACACCGAAGTGGATGATCTGCGACGATCCGAAAAGGGGTTATAATGTTCATGGCAACCAAGGGAAGTCACTTAGTTGAATTTCGGCCATGATCGATTCAAACTATCTATATGCCGAAGTGACATTACAAAAAATGGGCCACAACATATCCCTTGTCATAGAATTATGGGTGTGTCACCAGTCCAGCTGGAAACCCTGTTGAAAACACACTCCGAATCAGCTGCCCAAGGAGCAGATGCATCTTTGAACATGGATGGAGAGAAGGAATTCTCAGGCCAAGATTGTCGAGACCGGGCACATTCATGAAGAGGATTGATGGAAAGGTGTTGTACATTGTAGACTCTCTACTTTGACAAAAGGCGTTTGCGGTCAGTTTGGCCCAAAATCTATGAAGGCCTGCTTGTTCTTAGAGCCCGTCTTGACGAGATCGGCAGTGGATTCTAGGCAGAGTGAGAGGTAGCCACATACCATCACATACCATACTACCCAACGGATGCTATCCTACTGTTGCTAGGTCGGATTTCATTTTGACGGGACATACCGCAGGAATTACCCATATCTGCGATCCTGTTGCTTGGTCGGTTGTTATTAAAAGAGGGCACGGCATATCTCTGCCAGCTGCTCCAGGCTTCGCTGAGTGGAAGGGCAAGAAGGAGCTCTCCAAGGGCCTGGAGCTCTCGGTCGATACGAAAGCCACCGCCGAGGCCGGTGACCCCGAGCGGCGGTCCGAGCGATGACCCGCACCGTCGCTCCGTTCGCCAGGAAGGGAATGTGTCCTTGGCGCCCATCGGTTTAACTCTGGCAGCCAATCTCGGAAAGCTGGCGCCCAAGATGGCCACAGACGACTCGCGCCTTGGAGATTTTGATGCAACATCTCAGCTCGATGCATGCTCGATTTGATGATGATGATGATCATGATCATCATGATGATGACGACGACGATGATGATGATGACGATGATGATGATGATGATGATGATGTGTTTTTTTTCTCGAGAAACATTGCAGACAGATCCATCCTGTGATTTTGTTTAATTGTGTTTGGCTGGATAATTTTTGAAATCATTCATGCAGTTGATACTATTGATCCAATCTTACGAATTGAACTGTGTGCGGAGGTCTCAGTGACTTACCGTGCAAACATGATATTTGAGACAACGCTTCATCTGGCTGGGTTTCTATGCACAAGAAAGGACCTCCTGTTAACACATCACAGGCAAAGGATCGTGTCAAGCAACAATGACTCCTTGGGCCAGGGACACACTATGACACCTTCCACACTGACCAGGTAAACTGACGTCCTGACCATATGATCGGAGGCCTTTCTTTTTGGATAGGCCCAGAAATCCAGTGCCTTGATGCCGCGGTCGCCGCGCTCCCGTCTCGGACGACCGAACGGCAACGGCCACCGAGCGGCCAAGGTCGCTGAACTTGCGCAGCCGCTACAAGTTGGGCTCCGATCGGCCCAGCTTGCAGGCCAGGGCCTCCGTGAGCCCCAAGAAGTTGCCCCAGGCGGGGGGGTGAAGAGGTGGCCGCTTCAGTGGGCGGGCACGAGACGGAGTGAAGAAAGCGGGGGAAGGATTGGGGAAGACTTACTTGCATAGGCTGACACAGTGTCAGCTTGGGTTGCAGGAGTGAAGAAAGCAGATGACTGTGCTTGGGTATTTGTTTATGTGTGTTGTACTGTTGTACTATGTTGTACTCTTGTTTTTGCGGTCAAACGTTTTGTGTTTGTATTTCTACTGCAAGAGTTGACCATATCCCAACGAATGCTTTGATCAATGAATTAACCAATCCCAACTTTGGTGTTCCAAAGAAAGCCTGTTGGGTTGAGCAAAGGATGGTGCATATTCCATGAACTATGTTTCTTTGTTTTAAGTTGCACTGAGCTAATGGAACAAGAGCACGGATGATCCTTTGAACAAGGCAATCTTGGGCAAATCAACATGTTCGTCGAAACCTAGAAATGCAGGTAGATTCTAGAGGAACGTTGACTATGCCTGACTCATCCTTGATGTTGGTTTCCTGAAAGAAGCATAAAGAAGCAAAACCAGTTCAACCAAGTTCAATGTGAATCATGAAATCATCCAAGATGCAGATCATTGCTGCCTGTCAGGTGAAGGCTGCAGGGGAGGCCACTTGGGATGATAGTGGCAGCCTGAGTAGCACCTTGAAGCTCACAGCGGAGCATTTGTTGCTCGGCCAATTTACGCATTCTGTTTGTGGCAGCACACGTTATCGAGCTGGTTTTGGACAAACAAGGAAGCATCTTCCAAACCTTGATGCTTGCACTGCAGGCCCCACTCAAAATGTTGCAGCGGGGTGCATCGGATATTTTGCTACTGCCTGGTCCCTTCCAGCTCATTTGAAGAGACTAGGAATACTCCAACGGCAGACGAATGGACCCTGCCTAGTTACTGTACATTTAGTTACTACTGGTAGTTACTAGTACTTCTTTTATACATGTTCATTATATGTTATGGCAGGTCCCGTACTGAGGAGTTATCACTTAACGCATTTGGTGTTCCGGTTGTGCATGAGGTCTTGTGGTCTGGTCTCACGGACTTCACGTTAGTCGTCTCGCGACGCCCATCGGCACTTCAGGCATGGTGTTGATGCGCGATATGAGATGTCCAGCGGCAAGAAGGGTCTTCTGCAGCTGGCCTACAAGAGACAGGTCTTGCAGAACGTAGAAGCATTGATTTCCAAGGCCCATGCCAACAACCCTCCGCTAGATAAGCTCGAACTGATACAGCAGACTTTTGGGATTTAGCCTCTGTGTCTTTCTCACTCCCAATAGCCTGGTAGTAAGAAGAACCTGACCCCATCCTGTAAGTTCTTCGTTGGTTTTCAGGTGCCGATCAGGTGCCTCGTTCGTCCGAACGCTGCACGGTTCCTCTGGACCGTTTAGTTTCTTTCGTCCACTGGTGGACGACCGGACGGCTCGGCTCGGGTGTTTGGTTGCGTTGAAACAAGGGCGGTCTGAGGGTATTTATGTGAATGTATAGATTATAAATATTACCATTCCCATTTCCCCTATGAAATCGGTGGCCTGATGGGGATTTAAAACAAGGAACATATCAATATATATATATATGTACGTATGACCGCTGGTGGCTGGTCACAAAAAACGAAGGATGTCCTAGAGGCCGCCCTGCCTGCCTTAAGCCTGGCCCTGCGTTGCCTCACTCGTTACAAATATCGTGAGAAGCATGAATGGAAGTAATGGACATTGTCCCGAATTCATGTGATACATGTATGTGATACATCATGTTTCTATTAAATCTCTATATATATAATATATAGATAACATATTTCCTGATCCTCATTGATTGTCCACTTGTCCACTCCACCAGGCAAGGGGCTGAAGTGAGACTTCCACGGGTGGAGTTCCAAGGCACGGGACGGAAAAAACGGGCGAAGGCCGGCGAAGGACCGACGAGACGACACGGGCCGATGGGACTGATCACTTTCTGCATAAGCACAACTTTAGAACAGGTCTCAAGCCCCAAGCCACAAGGTATACCAACGCAGCTTTTCTACGACTGCAGCAAGGTATTCAATGCAAGGTATACCTTGCAACGGTTTACCGAAGTCTTGACCGGACGTGCACGACCTGTCCCATGGAGTACCCGTGGTCGTAGGTAGACCCAGACCCCCAGGGTTCGCAGGTCGTTTTAGACCAGATGTACTTTCGTGGCACGTATTCTGGGTGAGTCATTGATTATGAAGCTGTCGAAAAGAGCCTGAGAGGCCTTGGAGCGTAGAAGCTCGACCCCATTGACCCCGCAAATGGAACACACAGATGTCAGCATAGTCGTGGTGATGTTTCTTCATTTGCAGGAATTCTGTGTTTTTTGTTCCTTATTTCAGGTTCTGTTCTTTGAAAACGCCCAGATCCAGTGAGTTCAGATTTCTTCTGCACATGGGGAACCTTGCTTTCGTGGTTGGATGTTCACAGACTTGCAAGTATAATATATGCGAGTATGAATGCAGAATCATGCCCTGTGTCTCGCATGGCTGAAGCTTCTTTGCGCAGATGGCAGCTACCTGCGTGGCACTGGAAAGGTATACAAAGGTCAGCTCTGCTTCGCGTTGTCGGCTGGAAAGGAGGGCGGGAGGTTGGAATTCTATGGGTCGATCAGGACATCGGATGTGCATAGAGATACTATGATATACTGATATGCCCAGATCATATTCCTCAAGTGTTTGTTCCGCGGGTCTCCGCGGATGAGATGGAGAAAGCTTACTGTACACATGCAATAGCAGAAGGATTCAGACATATAATTCAGAGATACTCAGAGCTACTCAGCCTGATCAGATGGATTTGTGGATGGAGGCATGTCACACCCACACTTCCCAAGATGTTGGTCGCAATTAATAAGGCAATGCGCAGTTGATGAGACAATAATGAATTATGCAGCATCATAAGGTTTAAGTACTTGATCGTGAATCGTAGTTGAATGGATGCTTTTTTAACGATGCAAAGGTTTGCATCAGATGTTATTTCATCAGGTTCAGATAAACTGAATATATATTCTTAGAATCACCAAGACGCATTCACTCCGTGATTTGGACTTTGTTGATCCCTGTATCAGGCGCAGATTGGGGTGAGAAGCCCCGAGTGCAGCTGGGGGTCCAATATGAGGGTAATTTGCGTTCCTTGGTTGGAATCTGTTGGCAGGGCGTTGGGGATTTGGAAAGCTCAGGGATACCTATAGTGGTTTGATGTGGTTTGAGACAGATAGCCGCATAGATATTGTTTACACCACCTCTTGCCCCAAGTTCTTTCCTGAGAGCACACTGTAGGCTGTAGCTATTTTTGGGGATCGATCGAATCAGATTGTCTTGTCAAATCATGTCCAGTACACGTCTGATAGTTGTGACTTTTGGACTGGGTTGGATGAGTGAGTATGTCGACCAACGTCGAAGACCAACGTCGACCAACCTCCTTGCCAACACGACCAACCAGGTCGAGCAAGCGAAGCCATGGAGTGGTCGTGCTGGTCTTCAGAGCAATCCGGGTCAAACATGGCCTGGACTCAGCCACAGCTTCTGAATCTGCTCGTTCCCCGAAAACGGCTAATGCTACACACCACCAGCTCCACCAGCAGCTCTACCTCCCACCGGCTCCCACCGGTCAACTGGCTGAAACGGGCTGAGACGGGCCGAGGTATCCTGGACAAGGACTTGAAGCTCGGTGGCGAGAGCAGTGGCTTCGACTCTGGCAGGACGTGCCGGTGCCACCGGTGCCGGGATCATGATGGGGCTATATATAAGGGATGATACAGGAGTGTTCCGGAACCCGGTTTTTTCTCAGAGAGGACTTGGTTCGAAGAAGGGTGGCAGGTGATAATTGAAGTTTGGGAACCCCAAACTTCTTGGAGTGGCTGTTTCGAGATGGGTTGGGTTTGTTTCAAAATTGCAATCAAAACCTGGTGAAAGATGGTGAGAGGAAAGGGTTTAAAGTTTATAATGCCTACTAAGACCCTGTAGCTTCTTAGATCATCGTAGATACTCTTTTTCCAGACCCAGGATCCAAGTCGTTGAAGTCGCCCAATATGAATATGACATAGCTTTGGAAGGGAAGGTTCTTGTTATCGTTGTTTTATTTTAGGGTGTCTTATGGAGGTGTTGAATTTTGATGTATAGGAGATTTTTGAAGCAAGAAGTGCTCCAACACTTGAACATTGAGATTGACATAGATGGACAGTAACCTGCTACTTGCAGGATTTGTACATTTCGGGTAAAGAGTATTTCCTTCAACACAAGGCGTCCACTTCCATTTCCGAGAAGGAGACATCAGGGTTTGTGTTGTTGGGATTGCAAGAACATTTGCCTGCCTGCAAAACAGACTTTGTAAGACTCGAAAAGGATTCTGAACATGGACCTGGACCTCTTCAAGAATAAACATCCCCTTTGCAAACCTGACGTGGACGCTTTGAAGGGGAAAGACATCCTAAAATAGGATCAGAAATCTAGCAAGACCTTGCCATAACTGGAACCACAGCGCGTAGCAGATTGCTGATGGAGACACCTCATTGGATGCAATCTCCTTGCATGCCTGGTGTTGACACATCACTAGATCCCTACAGCATGACAGCATGCAATACTTTGCACCCACTTGCTAGGTGTCAAACGATCGTTTGATCGATGAGAACACCCCGAAAAGAACCATCCTGGCACACTCGTCACGAATCCTGATCACCTCGCTGGGCAGGAATCTCTTGGATGAGATGGGCAAACCCTGGAAGAGCCCCGAGATCAACAAGGCTCGTAACAGTGCCTGGGCAAGCACTGCAGAGCAGCGTCTCCCAGGTTTACTGCCTAAGACCGCAGGTTTACAGCGTTGTTGCCGTGGCAAACCGTTGCTAGCAGCTAGCTAGCTCTTCGGCTCTCAGGTGTTGTTTCGTAGCATCAGGAGAGATCCGCAGAGTATATACATGAAGTCATGAAGTTACAATTATATAATTTTACTTAATTACTATAATGAACATAATGAAGACATACATTTATATACATATATAAATACGCATCATGTTTATTTGTTCCAGGATTCTGTGCGAGAGCACCTTCTGACCCGGAGCAAGAATCTCAAGCAGAATCTCTCAGGAGAAGACTGGGCGCACAGCCTGGCGAGAATCCCATGGTAAGATCACCAACCAAACCGGGCCCACACGAAACAACGACGACCAAACCCCGACCAACCCCAGAAAGTGTGACACGTTGCTACCCACAAGTGATCACCAACAAAAGCAGATGGTCCAGGCGAAAAAGATCGCCTTTTTCACTCGTGACGGAACATGGACGGAATCCAAAGCTCCATTTTGTGCCGTTGACAGGCTTGTGAGTGAAAGAGAGACTCCCCCTCCACGTGTGAGTGAAGAAATCCACATTGTCACACCCATAAGTTGCTGCCTTGGAGGGAGTATCTAAGTCAATGCAGAACACATTCCTATCATTCCTGACTTTTGGTGATTGACAAGCCTCACCGAGGTGCCAAGGTGGTGAGGAACTACATCAAGAGTGAGCAACTCGTCGTGAGCAACAGCTAGAGGTCGTCGTTTGCTCTGCTCTTGAGCTCAAGAAAAGCCATCGATTCTTCATTCGTTTTAATTTTCTCCGTCTCAGGACCGGACAGGGCCGCCGGTGGATCTCCAAGTGAGAGGGTTGAACGAAGTTTTGAGTGGATGGGGGCTCACTGTGGCGGATGTCCTTATAATGATAAGATATGGATAGTTCATTCCTACATAAAGTGTTCTTTTTCCTGCGCCTGTAGCATTCTGGTCTGGACCTGCCACTGCGTGCGCCCCGCTTGAGAAGTGTCATGAATCTTGGAGTCGGGCATTTAGACCTGACGTGGCACGCCACTAGATGACCGGAAGGGGCAAAAACCCTGGGGATACTCGAGAAGAAAAGACGACAATTATACGACTATACGTGTTATATCTAGTGGTTTATGCTCTACTCTCATGTTGGGAACAAGGTTCCAGCCTTGCGGAAAAAAATACAAAGAAACAAAAAGCAGGAAAAAAGGTGCCTGTTATGGTTTCGATCAGAAGTCTGCAGATCATGATGACCGATGACTCTAATCCATCACATCTGTTGTCCGTGTCACTGACCTTTGACCGATGTATCCGGCCCACTGCGAGCTCGCTGGTGTTTGGCCTGTTCATCGGGAGAAGCAGAGCAGCTGGGTCAATTGGGAAGGAGGGATTTCTTCGTTTTCTCCGGCATGTGAGCACCTTGTGATTGATTTCATGCAAATCATACAGATTTGGATAAAGATTGGCCGACTCGGAGGAAGCAAACCAAAACCCTCGTCACTGTGGCTCACTGCACTTACGGCACTCTTGATTTTCAATGTGCCCATTGAATGCCGATTTCAATGGCCCGGCCCTTTGTCGCCTTTTGACGCTCTCTGTGGCAATCTCTTGTGAAAAGAGGCCGAGGACGCTGGAATCGTCCGGTCGGTGTTCAATGCGAGTCGTGGTCGGTGTTTCCGTTGCGAGTCGTCTGGTCGGCTTGCAATCTGCCATTCAGGGGTTAAACACCAGGTTCGAGGTTTCGTTTAGAGTCTATTTACCCTTCACCCAAGTTTCACTTGAAGGAATTTGCAGTGCAAGAAGGGATTTGCAACAAAGGTCAAACAAGGGAACCTACACTTGAGCTCGGTGTTTACAGTTTAAGGGACCGTCGCAGCACCTATACATATTACTATGGAATTACAATGGACATCTAAAGCCTGCTTTGGTGGTCCCTGGGGGCGTCCTTGGCGAGTCGAAAGCCGACCACTTGGTCGTCACTCAGGGCAGCAGGGTCACGGCCAGTTTTTCTTGGATTTTTCACCATGGCAGCATGATGTCATTTTCTTTCCCTATGGTCCTCCGCGCTTTTTGTTGACTCAATGCTAGCACTCCGATGATGTCATCATATTTCAGCTTCACTGGCGACTCTTCGCCTCAAAGAGTTGGCACCAAGAGTTTGCGACCTCTTCGGTCGCCCACTAAGGTCGTTCTTCTTTCTGAACGACCCTTTGTGAGTCGGACAAGCCTTCAATCCAGCGTAGCTCTGTGAGTGTAGCGACAGGTCGTGTCGCGCGACGCGACGCCATGCGACGGCGCCACGACGAGTGTCCTGAGTGGGTCAGGAAACGTGGGGCGTTTGTCTCCTTTGCCGCTTTGCCGAGGGGGTGACTCTGCTGGATCATGCGTGCTTGCAAACCTGCGACGCATTGCAGTCCCACCTATAGAGCAGTTAGAGTTAGAGCTGTTCCACAGGGGGATGGCAGACCCACTCATTGACATATCATTAAACTCTCACCAGCTGGGCACACCCTTTGCTTGGCCAGATGGAAAGTTTCAAGTCGGCACAATTTGACCGGCAGGCTTGGAGTGACATCTGGATGTTTGCGCCATCCGCTGTTTGAGGAATTCACCACTCAGGTACCTAGCAAAACAAAACATATGGCAAGTGTACGTACAAGTGCCAACATATATGGCAATGTATCAAATCCAGCAAGCATGATCGACTGCAATGACGACTGCAGCTTCAACCTGCAGCTTCCAATCAACCGGAGATCTTCCTTTCACTTGTCATATCTTGCAGCAGCTTCTTAAGCTGCTTGGCTTCCAGGTGCTGAACACCGAGCTGGAGAAAGAGGTTGAGATCTTGAATGCCTTGACCCAGGCCGTCCGGACAGGTCACAGGCTACTCAGGGCACCATCAGGGCACAGGCTATTGCCGGGTGAAAACGGCAGGAGTTGCTGTGTTTGTGTGCAGGATCCAGGAAAATCATAGGAATACGATGGAATACAGAATGCAATGAATGTATAAACATAAATTAAAATGACATGGTCCAAGTCTCACTGTATATCGTTTGTGGAAGATGGGTCCATTGACGTCAGCAAGATGAGGGACTGCAGGATGGTCGACTGTCAAGGAGACTTCCATGTGATCTGCTTGAGACTTCCATTCGTTAACCACAACTCTTGCAGGGCGTTATGGCAATGACTCCTGAATCGCATGGTGGGGCCTGTGTTCGTCGCAATCAGCAACATGTCCGGAATCGGGTACGTGTTTCGTCGCCGCGTACGCCCAGCTGGATTCCACCCAGATCAGGTGTTTTTGGGGTCCCACATCCTATGGGGACACAGGATTTGAAGATATACAGGACGAACGGTCGAGCTGGGCGATCCGTTTTTCCGTTTTCACCTTAGGACGAACGCCGCACAGGTGAAACTGGTCGTCTACAATGAGGCCACAAAGGCGGGGAGAGCCATGGAAAGTGGTCATCGTATGGCAGCGCACGTGCCGCACGAAGGCATTCGGTGGTCACCCAACAACGCAAGGTGAGGGATCCCACCATCCAGATGTTCATCCAGTCTGGTGGTTCCATACGGTAATTAGTATGTATAGGGTACAACTTATTATATATCAACTACAGATCGAAGGGAGCATCCCCAAGACTTTACCAAACATTTTGGTGTGTTAGACTATATTAGACTCGGCTGAGGATCAAAGTCCCATTCCGAAACTCCTCATGTTTCTGAAACGTTTCTTCCGTAACTATATGGTATTCTTGCGCAACTGCTCTTCGGAAACGATTTTGCGATCTTCAGACTTCGGAAACTATTTTGGGATCTTCAGAAAGTATGCGGTGGGAGTTGGGGGTTGGGGATTTGGGGGTTGGATGGGGTTCGTGATCGTGGGCTGGGTGGGCTCATTGACATACCCTGTGACGTCTACAATACATGCCTTGCATTCTTCGGAAACTGTTTCGCGAACTTCAGAAACTGTTTTGAATGCTTCAACAAATATTCTTCAGAAGCCTCACATGGCATCCATGCATGGAGCGCGGCTAGGGTGTGCAGCTGGATTTGGGGGGTGGGGAGGGTGGGCCTATTGACATAAATATACATAAATACTATTCGTGGAGAAACCGTCTGGTTATCGAAGATCACCTCTTACTTGTAGTTCCCGAAGATTACGTAGTTTCCAAAGAAAACCGCCAAGTTTCCATTATTCACCATGATCTCCTTTTAGTTACCGAATAGAACTTTGACCTACTGCTGAGATGTTGTATGATTTGTTGATGGTTTTCATTCACCTCAACACATAGATCATATGAATCATATGATCAGCCTTTGGGCCACTATGCTTTTGCACCTGGGAGGCGTGGGATCCTTCGCCAGATGCGTGGGGCCCTCATGAAGATGTCCGCAATTCGCACCTCGAAGAAAGACCGCTTGAGTCCAGCCCACCATCCCACGGTGTTTGTGTCCAGCTTCAGCCGGATCCGTTCGCTCCGAGCTTCGCCTGAGGCCATCACTCTTTCCAGGCACGTCCTCCAAAGCAAAGATTTATGCCGATCGCCGGGACCTCAGATTTCACGCGCCGGGCCGCCCCCCCGCAGCCATGCACCAGGTGGGTGAAGCAAGTCGCAGGATGTGACCTGGAAACTTCACTGAGACCTTCGCAAGAACCAGTGATATTTGGGAGAATGTCCTTGTGCTTGCTTTTGGTTGCAGAAATCTTTGGCTGCAGAGGCCTTTGAGTAGCTGGAGACCAGTTTTTTTGATTTGGCTGGTGAACGCCCTATCAAGCCTTCACGGATGTTAGTAAGATTGGTCTTGCATGATAGGGATGGGTGAACATACATAGGGTATCATAGGGTAGTCTTTTCAAGGAAGTGGAACATCCATTTCCTCCCTATACCCCGTACAAGTAGTTAGTGAGGTGTGAACTATCAGCTGCCCCAACCCCATAGTCAAGTCGGAATTCTACAGTGAAATGTTAGTTCAATCTGCATGTCTACTGAGTTTTCATTATGTGTTTAAACATTCTTAGAGCCTTATAAACTTATAGTCGTCAACTTGCTCAAAGAGATAAATTCCACCGTTTTCGAGTTTTTTGGATGTGCAGTCGTTGAGCAAGTGCACCTCAGCGATGAGGATTTCGGATCCTGCAGCAGCGACTCTTGCTCCAGGGAGAGTTGGGGTGCCTAGTGATGCGTCGCATCGGTTTGCCACATGGCTGTGGGTCATGGCACCAGAAGCCCCTTTATCCCTGGTAGGTTGACCTCCCAGGTAGTTCATTCTGTTCCATCTGTCGTAGCTGTGTGTTACAGCTTCATCGGTGACACGCAGGTCAGGTGCCATGACAGCCACATGGTGAACCAGTCCCAGTCCAGCTTTCGCTGATCTTCCAAATCTTGTCACAGCTAAACCGATCCGAGGAGATTTGAGGAACAACTTCTGTGCATTTTCCATGGTGGGGGGTTCTTGCTGGTCACTTGTGGATTTTCCACGGACATGTTGAAAGGACCGAGGTTCACTTATGGAGAGGCTGAGTGATCAGTAAAGAGGATTCAAACTCGAACTTTGGTCGAGTTTCGACTGCAGATCGACATCTTTCTCCAACAATTTACGATTCCCCATCATGAAACAGTGGCTGATAAACTGCGACGAGCTTGATTGCTTTGGTCTTGACCTAGGCAGTTTGTTGGTCAAAGACAAGACTCCATGAAATGTACTGTTGTACCGTCACAAAGCCACAGAGTTTAGCTTTTTCTGTCAGCACTAGAACATTGGAGTCAACCACCTTTTGGTCATTAACATGCGTGTCTCTCAAATTCGTGTTTCTCATGCCGTGTCCCGCGGCTTAGAAAGTTTGACACGTTACAACTGAGTCAACAACTGCCTCCGCTGATTCAAAAGAT